CCAGTTTAAGGAACAATACTCCTCTCAAAAACAAACTACAAAAACCACTTTACACTGCTCTCTGGCCACGCTGCACCTATAAATTTAAAGATTCAAGTATCGCCCCATCAACCCATTACTGTCGACTTTCAACCAAGAGATATTATTCTTTGGAGAAAAAACAAAACAAAAAAACAGGGCAGTTAGGGAGGATAAAAACGGGATGTCAAGTGAAAGAGCAAAATTAATTGAAATTATCTGAAGACAGAAACTAATACCAATGATAAACATGCAAAGCTAAGTGATTTTTAAAGTCCAGATGCAAAGGAAATGCCCACATCAGTACAGCAGCACTAACAAAACAACCTGCATTCTTAGCATGATATTTCTTTTTATCTCCAAATGAGGTAACAAAATAACACTTTTAAGTCCACCAAAACATAAATCATACCTGATTGGGTTTGATATTCTGCAAAGTGACAGTAACATTTGCCTTCAAGTTGCTAAGTGAGAGGTTAGCAACACTTGATGATATAACATTGCTGATTAAAGATGCATTCTTTAGGGAGGGATCCTGGAACAACAAATATTTAACCAGATTTAAAAATATTAAAGGAAACAGTAGTGAAATAAAACACACACAAGTTCAGTTAGTATATGGTATGAGAACTTGACAAACACAGCACATTTTTAATGGGCAATTCTGAAATGTATTTTTGTGAAAAATATTCAATTGTATTTTATTTTGTTCTTCTCTGGAGTTTAAAATCATTATGAACAAACTGCCAGAAGAATACCTGGAACACAGTGGTCTTTTTAAAAAAGTTGAATATAACTCTAGAAGCCAAGTCCAACTCTTCAGGAGGTAAATTTGTCAGCAATGATGAAGGAAGCGTAATGGTTCCAAGATTGTTTAAGTCATTAAGTGCTTCGGTACCTAACGAGATCTGTAAAATAATTACAAAGATTATAATTTATTTCTGTCACTAAACCAAAATTAAACTATTAAACTTATTTTCAGCTCGGAAGTTTGAAATACATATTTGTGCCACCCCAGTCACTGCTAGGAACATTCAGTTGAGCTCTCATTCTTCCCTTGTTCAAAGAATTAAAAGCATCTGAAGGCCTGAAATGATGCAGTTTGTTTCAAGTCTGCCCATCTTTACCCATTCACTTACTGGGACAGAGTATCTCGGTTGTGGATAATATTGATTTGAAAAACGTGAAGGGCAACAACCTGTGTAGGTCTACATAATCATGGAGGGATATTAGCTTTTCATAGCACAGAAGTGTGCAAAAAAACTTCTTATATCTAGGTGAAGAATGTCATTTGTAGATGACTAAGTAAGAAAATGAGGCTTTCACATCCATGGCATCTATCGACATTCACATTCCCTAAAGATTTTTAACTAAGTGGCTAATCTCAATCATGTTTGAAAATAAGAGAGAGAGAGAGACTGCCAAAGATTTTTAAGTTCTAGTGGCCAAAGAGAAAACAGAAAGTCTACCTATGCCTTAATACTTACCTGTTCTTTCTGCCACAGCTGTTCAATCTGTTACCCCATGCAGAGCTCCAAAATGGCCCTGCAAATGGCCAGGGTATGTGAGAAAGGTTATAGGGAAGAACTGAGAGTATTCCTAAGGAAAGGAATACAGGGGGCATGAAGGTAAACAGCCCCTCGGTGGCTCTGGGGACATCCAATGGTGACCGTGCTAGTTGACAGGACAAACGTGTACAGCAAACATCAAGGACGAAGGTGGCAAATACAGGGAGAGGCCACAGTAAACAGGAGCACTGAAAATCCTGAAGTGAGAGGCAGGATTATTGTGCCAGCGTAGGAACGAAAGACACATCCATAAGTATACAGGCTCCATCAATGCCACTGCTCACAAACAACTAATTGCAATTAATTGCCTTTTTCAAATGAATTGAGAAAAAAATGTAAATAGCTATTATTTGTCAGGAAGCCTTGGGTACGGTATGTTAAGCAGAACCTAAGACAACCAGCTCTGATTTTAAGATCATCTGGCAAAGAAAGACAAAAATAAAACCGAGTAAGCTGCTGCTGCAGTATTTTGTATACATATGAACAAATAAATGTACAAAAAAATGCTGCTTTTTTTTTAATAAAACAAATCTGAACTGTCGACCAGCCTTTTGTACTGTACTTAAAGAACACACGGAGCTTTGCTTAGTACGGAATTTCTAACTTTCTTGTAAAGCCTGGGTAGCACGTTAGTTATCTTATTTAAAAATAAGATTATCTCCAAGTTTATGAAAGATAAGAACTGAATGACAGCAGAACAGAAGATAGGAATTATCTGTATATTAAAAGAATGGTATAATACAGGGAGCTCTCCACAGTATCCTAAAAATTTATTTTAACCCTTCTCTGGCTAAACCACTTCTAAGTGAGAGTATCATTCAACTTCCTGATGTCTTTTGTTTAGGTAGCTACCAAATAAAACACCCAATTAATTCCCCAAAAAAAAAAAAAAAAAGGCATTCTTATTGCTTTGAGTTGGACCAGATACCAACTTGTTGAAAGTTCTCTGCTGTATTTCTTTTCCCTGCCATGAGACTTCCAGTAAATGACTGCTTAGCAAATACCTCTTTCCCAGCACTACCACCTCCTAGAGTCACCTCACACCCATGCATCACGTACTACTTGGAACAGAAAAAGAGCTCAAATGTTAGCATTTCACATCATTTTTAATATAACTGAACCATCCCAGTGCCACTTCTGGCTTGTGCTAGGTTACTCTTTTCTGAGAGAATAGTATGTGTTAGCATTTGTCCAGAAGTTTCCACCTCTCCTAGCCAAAGCCTCCAAAGATGGTATTGTCCAAATTATAATTTCTTCAACCAGGCAGGAAAAAGGGTTTTGAGTGCTACAAACTAGATCCAAACCTTTCTTTCTCAGCCCCTTTTTCATAGACAGAACAACAAGCTCTGAGTGACAAATAAAAGCATATAATTATGTGAGCAACCTAACAGTCCTTTCCTGGCACCTTCTGCAATTAATCACCTCCTAATACATGCCAACACTATTTGACACATTTTAGCACTGTCAGGGGGAATGATTAAATGGCTCATAATTCAAGGTTTTTGAAGGAGAATTACTAAGCCAAGCCCTCTATCCCATTCCGGTGTTCTGGCTGTAGCCTCTCTAATGGCTTAATAGTCAAATGCCAACTTCTAAGTCTGTTACTTACACAAGTAACCCAACATGAACACAAACCAAATCCAACTTGCCTACATAAAATATATAACATATAAATATGTAAACTTGGAAGTATTTAGAATTACAGTTGCTTTACCTGGAGATCAGATGAGTCCTGGACAGCAAAAGACATTTGATTGAAGCGCATGCTGTTCGTTTTCACTACTGCCAGAGCCAAGGAAGGGGAGGAAAAATCAGCAGACTTAGCTGAAAAGTTCAATTTTAGGCCAATATAATCCACGAGTTTTATTATTCTGAAAATTAAAGAAAAATTTAGTATTATCAAGAGCATACACAAGAATTCTCAGTCAGGTTGTGGAGCAGCAAGCCAAGCCCAAATATAAAGTCTAATTGACTCTGCTCATTTTCTGTGGCTTTGACATGAAAAACTACAGTTTTCCATTGAGTTAGAGTAGAACTAGTAACACTAGAATAGTACTCCCTGCCTTTCCATATAGCTACAATAAATTATAAGAGATCTTTTTCTGGATTATGATTATTATAATTACCCTCAGCACTGTCACTTTACTAAAACAGTTAATAAAAACATACATTTAATCTATTACCAACCTGTTAGAAATTTGGGGTGATAATGGTTGAGAAGCAGTCAAGATTTTGCTAACTTCACTAACCATCCTTTCTACATCTTTTGGTTCTACTTTTCCATCTGCTAAATCCTTTTCTATTTTGGAAACGATTTGCTCAGCTGTGGTGATATTAACGGCAGTATAAATGGAAGTTGTGTATGTGGTAGCTGATAGTATCTTTCCTGTGACAAGAGAAATTCATGCATTTATTTAAATGTTTTCAACAAGTGAAGTAATCCTTAAGAATGAGGGAAAGATTAGGACAACAGGACAACAACAGTTCTCTTCATCAACAAACCTTATACAATGGTAAGGTCTCTGTATATGTTACATTAAACAAAACACCTTCTTCTTCCTGTCAGCTACACTTCATAGAGAAATACTTCAAATCTTACAGAAACATAAACCAAGTTTCAAATAACCTAAATTCATTCCACTTTCTACTGATTGTAACAGTGTTCATATTAGACCCTTAGTGATGTTAAATAATCTGTTACTTTGGATTTCAGTCAATAAATGCCTGGAAATGGAAACTGAAGACCAGCTATTTGACAAGCACCCAACGAAAAACATTCAGTTTTCACAAGAAATATACAGCTAAGAATATTCCTCAGAAATTGCATATTTCAAGGAAGTTCTAATAATAAAATATTAGTAGTATTAGATGTAATATTTTAAATACTGATTTAGTAAAAAGTATTACCTATCTGCATCTGCGATTACTAATTTTTCTACCAAATGTACCTGTTGGGAATTTAACACACTGCTTATATATGAAAAATAACAGGTAGAGTAGGGTATCATTCATAATAGCCAAAGGCACCAGAATGTTTTTCAAAAGACGAAAGTGTCTTCAAAAAGACTGTACATCTTGTGAGAGTTATGTCTTCACAGTAATTGGAAGGTGAAGTCTTACTTCACATACAGCAAGACCCTCTGTTCAATAAGTTCAGTATATGCTATTCAAATTAAAACAAACACAAACTTTCACTTGTCCTATTTACCTGTATTTCCATGAGGCAAGCTACCATGGCCAGCATCCGCAGAATGAGGATGAGAAGAAGCTGAGGCAGAATGTTTGACAGGACTAACAGTAGGGACCATATATGTTGTGAAAGGAGTAATGGGAAGAATAGGTGCTGAAGTAACACTTTTATTAATGGAGATAGGTTTGGTAGAAACTGTAGCAGGAGGTATTTGTGCAATAGATCTGGTGGTATTTTCAGGAGGGGGAATTGTTAGAGGAGGTGGAGGCAGCTCAGAAGCAGCTGTTGTAGGTTTAATGAAACTAGAAAAAACATTTCCAGGATATGCAGCATCAGATTTAACTGAGAGAGCAACATTAGTGCCAGATTTTGATGCAGGTGTAGACAGAAAAGTTGGCATGGCAGGTTTAGCAAAAGAGGAAAGTGTAGTGGTAACCCTGGTAGAAGGTAGAGAAGTTGCAGTGGTAGATGTGGTAGAAGGTTCAGAGAGAGGACTTGTGGTGGGAGATGTGGAAAGAGTTCCAGAAGCATAAATTTCTGTGAATGGTGTGATCAGCGGTTTAACTTGGGGGTCCTGTTGGGTAGAAAGCATAGTGGGGGAAAGAAAAGGAGTTCTTCTGGGGGGAAAAGGACTAAGTGAGAAAGGAGCCCATATAGAATGAGATGGCACTTGTATAGTACTGTAAAAAAATAAAGCACAGAAAAGCATATTATTTTTTTTATTATTTAAATTTGTTAGCTTTATTTTAAAGAAAATAAGTTAGAATATAGAAATATATAGGAACATATTGCTACTAGTAATGAGTATTTTAAAATCCATCATATTAGATGACAGAAAGAGAGGGAGGGAGAGAACACTATACAGGAAAATGTCTGTGAGGTTGCTTTGGTGGAGAGACTCTTATTGTTCCAAAATGGAAATTCATTACTACTGCATTATAAAATTCAGGAAAGAGGGAAGACAAGCCTTGTGTATTTATACTCACTACTTCCGTAAGTCTTCAGCAGGCAAAGAACAGTACTTTGGTGATGAACAGCAGCACTCATCTGAGATGACAAAGAAACATTACCCTAGTTTGCCCTGAAGCATAAAAACTTGCTAGTACTACTAACAATAGTAGTACTATTTGTAGGAGGTACTATTAGTAGTAGTACAATAGGAGGAGGATGGGGCCAGCCTCTCTTCAGTGGGACAAGAGGAAACAGCCGCAAATTGAAGCATCAAAACTTTCACAGGAACTTTATGAAAAAATTATTGACGATGAGGGTGACAGAGGACTGGGACAGGCTGCCCAGAGAGGTTGTGGAGTCTCCTTCTCTGGAGATCTTCCAAACCCACATGGATGCCACCCTGTGCCACGTGCTCTAGGTGACCCTGAGTGTGCAGGGGGGTTGGATTAGACTCTAGAGGTCCCTTCCAACCTTAATGATTCTATGATACTATGAATAGTATTCAGAAAGTACATGTTTGAAAACAACAGTACATTTTGCTTAATCGCTTCTGAGCTTTGTCTGAAAAGACACTTGCAAAAGAGATTTGGATCAGTGAAAATAAATACTGCAATACCACTGCATTTTTGCTCAGTGCCAGACAAGTACAGATTTATTCTTGTATAAACTGGAATTCTAGATGATTTGTAATAGAAAAGAAACATACAAGCCACTACTCCCCACTATATCAATATCACCCTGAAAATTTTGCATGTTTTGTATTTGATAGTTCAGGTCACCAATTCAGTGATGCATATATGTTAGTAAACAATATAGTCCTTTTAAAATCTGCTTTATTAAAGTAGTCAGCAATTTTATACCAAAGCTTTTTTAATACACATTCCCAATCTTCCTCTTCTCTCTCCAAATCCAAACTGCTGCATTTTCACTTTCTATATGGACTTATAAAAATTAGTTTTTAAATAAAAATAAGAGTCTCTTCTTTTAACTTCTTGAAGATTACCTGAAGAACTATAAGATTCAGTCTAAACAGCAACTGTGATGAGATTGTATTTAAAGCATAACTTACCAATCTGACTTATTTCTTTTTTGTCTGTTAAACTGCTTATATTCTCTTTCTTAGCCAGCTTTATTATGAAATTGCAATGTACACTACAATGAAAAAGAAAAGGTGTTAGACTCAAGAAACACACCTGCCTTGCGCATTTGCAACATGGAAGCAATGTCAAATGCTAAATCGGGCACTTTCGATTTTGGAGTTACTTTTGTTGCAAATAAACACTATGGCAGAAGAGCATACGTTAAAGAATAGGTGAGCTTGTGGCACCTTATTTTCTCTCTACAACCACTGTTGCTTCTTAAATGGGATCCTAGCTAACTAACATTAGTCGTTTACTCATGTGCGCATAATGCTACATTTTTTATAATTATGGATAGATTTTAAGAAATCCTCCCTAGCTAAATTAGTAACTGTACAGTCAGAATTCTTCACATTCAGCAAAGGCAAACACAAGTGTATAAAGGCAACACAAACAAGATGAAGTGAAACTTCTTTCCAGCTAACAAGAATGGAGAGCACCCTAACCCCTGCCAGCATATGATATGGAGGTGTAAACTGAACTTCTGCCCATTACTATTTGAACGTTTGGGACTTTTTTTTCATCTTACACTGGGAAAATAAACTCCAAAATTTAAATATCCGGGTAAATGAAGTTCCAGATTTTGATTTATAATGTAGTGTTTCCAAGCTGATCAGTTTAAAGGACCAGCAATTTAGTGGTGAGCAGCAATTAAACTGACAGGTATTATCTACATTTCAGGCAACAGCTGCCAGGGTGTCCAGGATCACCTGCTTTGGGGCAGCCTTGCTGAGGATGGCTGGCTTTCAAATCTGAAAAACCTTTCAGCAATCCAAGACATTTGAAACATTTTACTAATAAAGACTGTCTTGGATTTAAAAGCTCAGGAAGTTCAATGGTCCCATATCTCACGGCAGCTTTTCAGGCTATTGTCCAAATTGCCATATGAGTCAGTTAATATGAAGAAATCTGGCAGGGAAGCCTGTGTTGCACCAGAAGATTAATGAAAAGCAATACAATTTCATTAAAAAAAATCTTAAGAGATTAAGGGGATAAGAATTTCTGACAGCCTGCATATATTTCTCAAACTTAACTCACTGTTTCTCAAACTTAACTACCTAGATAGTTTCTTTTTTTCCTGCTACAGAACCATTCATACTTGAAATAGTCACAATAAAATATATGAGCTTTTTATTATATTAACATTTTTAAAGTCAACCACAAACCTCTGGTTTTCTGTTCTGCATTCCATAAAGGAGGACTGTAAAGACAAGTGAAAGAAGAATACAATTATTCTGTCGGGAGAAAACAGGAATGATACTTATGACTTGTTATATTATCAGATATAAGTTAAAAAAGAAGTTTTCTAAGTGGTAACAACAAATAATACACTTACCTCACTTATTTCTTGCAAAGTTTTGTTGAACTCTGAAATTCTTTAAAATAAAAGGTTACCATTATAGAGGATTTCTACTTATGATTAAAAAGAAAAGAATAAGCAATTACCAAGAAGCAAGCATTTTTCTTATTGATCAAGAAATAGTTAGCAATGATTTTTTTTAAAATCATGCCAGTTTTAATACTGTAAAAACACTTTTTGAAGGATCAAATAGTAATAAATCATCTTTTCAACTTTATTAGTTACTTCACAAAGTAAGTCTAAACCTCTGTCATCCCACATAAATATCACAAAATCAATTTTGTTCTTTAAGACCTATTTATAAGAGCAAGAGAGAAATCTCAATATTGTCTTTTGGCATGGAAATTTTGGCATTTCCATTTGGAATGGAAACTAATCTCATAGTAAAAGCTACAGAAAAAGAATGAACAGGAAATATGGATTTCTTCCACAAATAGAACGCATTGGCCAAATATATATTTTTATTTTCAGGTTACCTTTGAGAATAGCAGTTAATACACAGTCAGTTAAACCACCCTGAAGGTATTAGAAATATAAAGTAGAAGATAAGTATTACAAATACTAGGAAAAGAAAGATCAGTTGAACCACAACTGGGGAAAACCCTCAGAGAAAAAATTTTGGTGGGTCTGGAAAGAGGAAAGGGAACATCTTAGACTATGAAAGGAGATGCTACACTGAAATAAAAATATAGATAGGACTCTATGAATGTGTATAAAAAACCATAGCTATAAGTTTTAATATTAGTTCCATAAAAGATTGACCAAATCCTGTATGCTGTTTTTTTGAAAATGAAATCCATTAAGACATAAACCAAAAATGAGACTATTCTAACCAATGTGAATTTTATCTTAAAGAAATCCTGAAACTCTTAAAGAAATTCCTGAAAATTTTAATGTATACGATACAGAATAACTTCACAGAAGTGTGCAACCTCACAGAGGGCCTTGCTTAATTGTTTTCAAATATCTCAAAGGTTTCAATCCTCATTCAAAATTACTCACTTCATTTCTTGCTGGGTAGGTTTCACAATTGGAATTAATTTTGCAATGTGATTGCTGGTGGTTATGTTATTAATCTGTTAGAAACAAAGATTCCACTGATAAATCAAACAGTAATTCTTAACATCAAAAGAGCCTTATCACACAGTCTACAAGTCTGAAATTCTAAAGGTAAGAAGCATACGTTTTTTGCAAAAATCTTTCAAAAATATTTATCATGACATTATTGTCACAGCTTATTAAAGGAATTGGTTCATATGGGGCACACACAATAATAGTTTCTGATCCATTATCATCCAAAGGATAGCAATTTTAACACTTTCATATTAGGAAAAGATGAAAGTAGGTTAGTTTGCCACAAAGAGAACTTAAATCAGATACTGAACAAACTTCCCAACTGTAATGATAATACAGCATGGGAACAAGCTATGTAATAGTCTCAGGGAATATACTTAAGGCAATTTTACCATCACAGAAACAATACAAATATGGAAACAGCTCTTATGCTGGGGACAGTGGGGCCCAACCCCGCCCAGAGAGAGAGAGAGAGAGAGAGAGAGAAGGAGAAAGGTGTAAGGACATTAAGGTGTAAAGGACCTTGTACTATCCTCAGGCCTGGCCTGCAAAACTCAAGAATGAATGCCAAAGGCATGTGTAGGAAAAAGGCAAGAGGTCCTCTACAAGCTAATGTCCAGTTTTCAGTTTTCCTACCTGTAACAACTAAATAGCCCCATCCTGAATCATCTAGCTACTGTGAAACCCATGCTACCCTTGCCTTGCATGATATTGTCCTCTGAAAACTCTTTTGTGTTATATAAACATTTTCATACTACATACACTTACTACAAATCTGAAAACTGATCACCTACTAGCTAAAAAGTATTAGGACCACCACTACTTTGATGCCCTATTTATAAGAGCCTCAACATGAATTATTCCCAAGATACAATCCAATCTAACTTGTCACCAACCTGTAGGTATGAATCTAATACTCCTACAATGCCTAAATCTCTCTCCCAAGAATAATCTTATATGCCTAAAATTAGATTCCTAATTAGGTGATATAGGCACTTCTTTGCAGAATTTCCAGGGTGTTCCCTGTTTTCAGTGGTTATATAGAAAATACAACTAGTGTAGGAAGACCATTTATATGAACCTTTTAAATTTAGCCACAAAACAGTGTTTAAAACAGAGAGCAAACCCATCCACAGTAAATATTTACACTTGTATTGCAAACTCTATTTGAAATAAAATAAAAAATAAAATAAAATAAATAAGAATCATGTTAAGATATCAGTATTTTAAGTGTAGACAAAGGATATTTCAAGCCTTCCTTACAACTAAGTTTTAAAAGAGCAAGTACTTACTATTTCTACATTTACTGACGTGTTACTTCTTTCTTCGCTTGCCTGAAGTTTTGCCTTGCCCACATAAAAGACTAAAAACAAAAATCAAAGAAGTTAAAGAAAAAACTTGTGCTCAATCACATATGTGGAATTATTTGAGAATTCAAGATTTTACTCTGTTGTATTACAAGGGAAATAAGAACACTGAAATTAACTTTTCTGATCATTCAGTATTTTGCAACCATTTTCCCACCTCTTCACATATTCTTCTTCCCAAAAGAACTACTCTAATAGCTTCACTTTTTCAGTTTTGCTAGCTACCTCTGAATTCCATCTGATTTTTTTTTCCCCAAATAGAAAACTTGCACTGTGTGTGCCATTGATATAACTTCAACTTCTGTAATGAGAATAAAATGTTGGTTAAAGGCAAAGTGATACTCTGAATATTATTTAATCCCCTTGAGGATTAAAGCACTTTCAGGTATCATTCAACAGCCCTTTAGAGCAGACAGAATTCCTTGGTAGACATAAAGGAATTTCTGTGGCAGTTTTCTTCCTGCAGCTACACATTCAGTGTTAGCTTTTACAATCATCCAAGACACCTGGCGTGGTTTACTGTGTCATCCATTAAAGAAACTTTTTGCTGGGAAGCAAATATTTTTTCTGTCTCTATAATCTATAAGGTATAGATTATAAGTATACAGCTCCCTGGCAGAAAATACTTCGTTTTCTAAAGAACTTCTCGCGGAAGTCCTTTATCAAAGTATTTTGAAAGTTTGCAACATAAAGCAACAAAATTTATCTACATTTTTATTACTACACATATAGGGAACATCACTGCCCTTTCCCTTTTTCTGTCCTGTCACATTCTACTATAAAAATACATGCATGGTTTACAATAATTATTTCAAACTTCTATTCCTGACACAAGATTAGACTTAATATGCCAGAAACTAACAGCATACTGTCTTCTATTTTTTCCTCAGTTTAGTAATTCTAATCTGTATATTCTCTGTTAAGAAATACTGATCAAGAACAGAATTGACATTACTAATACAAAACATGTTAATCTATTTTTAAGAAGTTATGTAAAAATCTCTCTCAATTACCAGGAAAACTTGCCACAGAATTAGATTTTATATAGCAAATGCAAGTTGCCACATTACTCAGCAGAGAAAATAGTTGGGCATAACTTTTACGTGAAGAAAGAAAAAATAAAAACACTAACCTGAAAAATTGCAGGGATTCGATATATTGCATAAAATAGTTTCTCCTGGCATAGTTTCTGGAAAAAAAAATATCCGCTGACTAAAAATACTCAATTTAAAGTCAGTCCTGACAGATAGACACATTTGCAACCATTTCAGGATTTTGAGTTTAAAGGTCTTGTCTTTACTATAAATGATTTGCACACTATCTAGGCTTCACTCCTCTAGGGCATTTACCACAACATTATCGAAGAGCTAGTATTCCCACTTATACACACTGCACACAGCATGTGTGTTATGCACACTGCTAACTGTTTCCCCAGAACACCTACATGGGAGTAGGTCCCTACATTTAAAAATAATCCCACAATTTGATGGATGGCAAGTAGCACTTAAAACCCATACAGTTAAGATAAAATGTGTTTTAGATACAACTGTAACATAGGTAAGTTGTTAATTTATGGACAGGACTGTACTTTTCATGAACCTTTACAACAAGTATGCACCGTGTGGTACGCATTTTTTCAAAGTCTATAGCAACAACTAATTCAAAAAAACAGAAGACAGTCAACTCTGGGACTCCCATTGCAACTGTTCAGGCACAAGAAAGACCTGAAGAAAGGAATCTTTGTCTAGATTATCAAAAATAATTTGAAACCATTAAAATAATCAAGTAAACAAACTCTTTATATATAATCAAGATAACGCAGAAATGAGCGTATCACAAACAGGTTCTTTAAGTACCACAATATTCAATCCTCATGTGATAAATAGTTTCTGAGGATCCTATTATGACTATTATGATAATAAGAAAATCAAAAACTATTCTGCCTGATGGAGTTGAAACCATGGGACAGAATACGGGTTCTCTCATCTAGCATACCATGCTTTAGTTACAACAAACCTTCTCTTACTGCCATATTTTTAACCCTACCTTTACCTCAAAGAAAAATACTGATCAAAATTTTAGAATATCGTAAACAGACACCTCAGCTATATAAAACCAAAGAAAAGGACATGAAGGATATTTACATATGAGACAAAACTCCTGCACTTTTTCATAAAACCAAATGTGGCAGCATACATTTCCTTACAGCACTTAGGCTAATTCCTGAATAATAATGAGGACCAGGAAAAATAGCGCAAAACAAGCACATAATTAGATTATGCTCAAATTACAGAAAAACAAGTCCTGTTCTCTCAGCTGTGGTCATAAGCTAGTATCAAATGAGATGGGAAATTTCAATTTTTTTTTCTAGTTTTTTCTAGGGTATAAACATTTGCGTGCTAAGGCCTGATATACCTCATCTGTTTCATCAATGGCAAGGATTTTGAGCAGCTAGCAATATTCAAAACATGACGGGGAAAAAAAAGCTTTTTGGTGAGCAATTTTCATTCAAATGAACTTGTCCTCCCTTTCATGTTGGTAGTTGTCAGTGAAGTAATAATGAAGCTATATCAATGATATTATTTTAAAAGAAATCCTTAAAGAAATAAAAGATTCTTCAATACCTGAACATTTGAAGTTTAGCTAGATAAAGAACAACATTTATAAAATCCCAATGCACAAAACAGGAGTGCTACTCAAGCAAAGAATAAGGTGAACCTTTTATTTACAGATAACTTGTATGTGTGCCACCTCAACCTAAGACCTCTGCAGGCCAACAAAATACAAAATTATTGCAGGCCAATAAATAAGTAGTGTAGAGGATCAAAGCCTCACTGAAAGTGGTTAATGATTTCAACCACTAAGATGATCACCAGGTAACAGAGCTAAAGTCTTCTTGCAAATCACATTTCACAGAGTCAAATTATACTAGCCAGTATACACATTCCAAGCCATCTAGCACTTACACTAATTCTACATAAATACACTCTAGTCTGTCTACTAGGCTCTTATATGAATAGTAAGGTATTCAACTCAGCCTAGTCCTATAGACTGGATCTGTCCAAACAATGATAGATTTCAATTCTGTCTACTGCAATGTGAATTTTTAAAAAGTAAATATGCTTCCTGGGACTGTGTTTCTTAGATCTTGGTGCCCCCTCACAATCTACTGCTCTGACTCGCAAAATACTCCAGCCCTTCTATATGAGATATGTAGTTAAACACTGCAGAAGTAGACTTCCTACCAGACAGGAGATCAATGCAAAGTATGGCAGATTGCTAATAAGGCAAACAATAGTACCAAGAAAAAATATCATATTAAAAATATTTGAGCGCAGACCACTTGAACTGACAAACACACTTAATCTTTCAAACGCGTCAAAGCTCATCAGTAATGATATATATATATATCCTACCTGGTATTATAGTGGAATAATAATCAGTGATACTAAGAGTTTCTGTAAAAATAAACAGATTAATTAAGTATTGATATTTTAACTTAAAAAGACTATGAAATACAAGTCATAAACATAAAACAAAATTTCCTTATTTACAGTTTAGACTCTGCCTTTCCAGGAGAAGTGGAAACATATGACCATTTGTTTTATAAGGTGATTAAGTTACTTTGTGCAAAAGAAATGAAAAAGCAGCATCTTGGGTGGGTTCACCTGATCAAATCTTTACAACCCTATCTCAGCCAATTACTCTAGGGCCCCTATTATCCAGTGGAAAAGGAAGTGCTTTTAAGATGTGATTCCTTTGACTTAATTTAGATGAGTACTTTAGGATAAGATGAATCCCATTCTAAAAAAGTATTTTTCTGTCTCCATCAACTATGAAAGATACCAGGATGTCTAGCAGATAAAGACATAGAGGCATCAACAGTTATAGGGAATAAATATACTCCAAATGCAAACATCAGGAAAAAAAACTGTAGCAGTTTTCCTGACTAGGCCTGTACTGATCCTATTTGGTTAACAGAACAGAAGCATCTATGTTATGCAAGTGTTTTTAAACAGTGGTGTGTACATTTTAGTTCAGTAAGCTATTTTAAATACTGAAAAAAAAAATTAAAAAGCATTCTATTTATGCCCCCAAAACAGTCTGGGCTTGGAAAAAAAAATCAATATTTTTGCTAAAAAAAGAAAGGTTAACAGCTCAGTGTTTAATGCACTTCAAAACTCTACCAATGCAGACTTAAAATACAGGCTGTAAGGTTTTTAAGATAACGTAAGAAAAGAATTCAGTCTAAATGAACCCCAGTTTAAAACAGACTTTCACAAATGCTACACAGATCTTCCTCCAAATCTCATTCATCATATGTGAATTCTCACCTGCACTTTGTGTAGTTTCTTCTGAAGACATATCTGAACGAGAAAATTAGTAAGTATAAATATATATATTAGTAAATATAAAAATTAACAACTAGTAGTTAAACAGTAGTAAAATTTTAAAAATAGTAAATATAAAAAAAATAAAATAACACTCTAAACAGTCTAAAACTAAATCTAATTATGAGAAATGTTAATAAAATCTTGCCTGTAGGACTGATAGGATAGGTGATAAAAGTAACAATAGAGGATTCTGGAAAAAAAAAAAAAAAAGAAAGGGAGAAAAAAAAGTAGCAACGGCATTACTCTAATTGTTTCTGTGATTTTCTGAGAAGGAAGATCAAGCATGCAACACTTCCAACAGGAACAGAACTGTAATATTCTAAGTTCTCTTTTGTGAGCACTGTGCAAAAACTGTGCAAACTCTTTCAAGAATCTGAATAAGTATCTGGATACAAACATCTGATAATTGAGCTCTTTCAGGTAAGTTCCTTTTATGGGTTTCATACTTTTGGTAGACATAGATGCCTGGCACATGCAGTAGTACTAACTGTGCTCATCTCCAAGGCCTTTTTTCTGCATACATTCATGATACCCCTGACCAAAGATGACATACTGAGCTTGGCAAACTTGCTCCCAAAATCTTTTTGCCAGAGGGTTTTTGCCAGTGACTTTTTCTAAACAGAAGAACAGTTTCATAACGGAATAACACCAGGCTTTCCAAATTTCTACAATACCAACATCAGCGTCATCATCTGTACCAATAAAAACCATTTTTTTTCTAAGACAATTAAATGGTCTACATATGAGGAATCAGAGTGAAAACTAAATGCTGGCTTCATCTGCATCATTTTGGTATAAACAAATACAAATAATGAATGCTCTGCAATTGTTAATGGTCATACATTCTCAGAGAAAGATCGTATCTTCAAAAAAATGAGCATATTGCTAGGTCTGTATGAGCTTTTACTAGAGCAGTGTGTCAGCATACACTAAGAAAGCAAGCAAATGGCTCTTTCTGTATGTATATTTCCTCTATCTTTTCACATTTTTTCCTACAAAAATGCTTTCATAAATGATGTTCATCACCTTCGGCTTACCCTTTTTATTTCTTTGTCTCTGCAGCACACCACACTGCATCAAATGGCACAGGTGTGTGTACCGCAGTGGCAAGAGGTAAAAAAGAGTTCTTGTCCTACAGTGATCTCCCTCTGCCATCTCTGCAAACTCCTCGCTGTTTAGGTTACAAAAGATTCTTGATAAATCTTAAATAAGCTTGCGCTTATTCCCTCCCCAATCATCACTACTACAAAGTGGGAGTGATTCCATAAGCTATGCTAATCCATTAACAGTAGCAAGAAGAACTTAATTTTCATTTAGAAAACCCACTAAATGTTGGAATTCATTTGCACTACAACTGTTCCTCATTACTTCATATAAGAGCAGAAAGAGATTGATCTCATCTGAAATAACGGACTTTGCAGTAAGCAGAAAGCCTGTTTTTTCTTACCAGCAACAGTTGTTGTATCTATTGCTCCTGAATTTAGGGAGAGAGAGAGAAAAGGGAGGCACAGATTAGTGCATGAAGCTTCAGTTAACAGATATAACCATTCTCATCAGCCTTTCCTTATGTCATCAGAAATTAGCTGGATGCCTTCACCAGAAGAGGGCAACATCTGCTCATCAGAAAAGCGCTTCCAGGTTGGGGGGGGGGTAAGGTAGACATATTAATTTTTGCTAAAATAACACTAAAATTGTTACGAATTTAAATAGAATTAAGCAAAACAAGTACTTATTTTCAGCAAATATTTGCATTCTACATCACTAAGGAAAAAAAAAATCATAGTCCCAGTAGCCTGACCCCTACATATCTACCATGAGTGTCTTATTAATGGTAGCAACGGGTGTTTAACATTTATGGCCCGATGATTATAGTTGGGTGTTCTCACCTCAGCTCACCTTCTCAGATCTTGTCATTGCCATTTAAATTTTCATTTCAGATTTTAATCTCTTCTCTTGATAGGAATCAGACAACTACTTACACAGAAACTTGACACTAAATCTTTGACCTTGTTACAGTAAGCATTTTCAAATTCTCTCCAAAGCCGCAAAAGTCACCCTATAATGCCACTTAACGTACACTATGTTGTAAAACCTTTCCTATTGTAGGAGATCTAAGTCAGAGTAGATTTTCCTTTTGTCAAACTTAGTAAACAAGAAGCTTCTGAAATGCTAATCACTCACACGTTTCCTTATTCTGATAATATTTTGCTTGCCTTAATAAAAACTAATGATAGCCTCCTTTGAAAGGATAAGCTTTAATATGATTTCTGCAGTGAAAGCGGAATCAAGAGTTATTTCAGTGGCCTTAAATGGATTTTCAGGAAAATCACTGATATTATTTGGCTCATTAAATATGTCAATAAACCACAAGGATTATATGGATATTAATTTGAAGATACTTATGTATTCTAAACAATCTCCCAGAATTAAAAACTAACAGCATGAACAATCGTCTATACAGTTTCCAAAATAAAAGAGCAACAACAACAAAAAAACGCACAAACAAAGAATCATAAACTTGTTATCTGTTTTCCCTCAGGCAACACGGGAACAGTTCTGACTAAAAGGAAGTATTTTGTTGTTGTTGTTTTTTTAATTTATATATGTATGCACATACACACAGGCGCACTTCTAAACACAACCATTTCAGATGTACTGCTATTCTAGAACAATAACATTTTGTCAAATGACAAAAATGACATTGCAACAAAAGTTTTCTTTTTCTGAAATAAATTGGTTGCATTGAACTTCAAGTCTTTTATGCTAGAGCTGAAAAGAATTCCAATTTGCGCCAGCAAGGTTGTACTGGATAGGTTAGTATTCCATCTACCTTCAATGCGTGTGACTAACACTATTGATTTTATTTTTATAAATCCATTCTTACCTGCATGTCTGGTAGTTTCTTCTGTATCTGACAAAGGAAGAAAAACAGTAAAAATTAGATGATAAATGTTAGAACAGAGAATTTTGTAACAGAAAAATAACCAAAAAGAAATTAAACAAGAACATGTTCCTCCGCCTCCTCCAAAAAAAAAAAAAAAAAAATTTTCCCCCCCCCCCCCCAAAAAAAAAAAAAAAAAAAAAAAAAAAAACACAACAAAAAACAACAACAACTTAAAAAAGATGACATAATAAACCCAAAGTAATCAAAAAGCAGAAGGCAACAAGAATATTTGTTTTTCCTGAAAATTCCTTGGCTAGGCTTTCAGTTTAGGACTTGATCTTTATAAATCAGAACCCCATATTAAGAGCCTTAAAAAAGTGAATATATGGAAGCAAATCCAGAAGCAAGAGCTTCACCTACCTGCAAGGCTATGAACTCTCCTGGACCACCTCCTGGTCAATAAAGCCCTCCTTAATCACTCCTTGTATTTCAGGAGGACTGAAAGTAACCCAGAATTTCCCAATCCAACCCCAACTTTCTACTGGGACACTACCAGTTTTCTTCGTAGATGCTAAAAGAATCAGTGAGAAGCAATTTTCCCTCCCAAGCGGAGCTCAGAATCCTTATGCAATGCTTCTCCTTGCCTCCTTAGGGCTCTTCCCCTCAATCTACTTCTTCTATACTACGTAAGCTGTTACTAACAAATTCAGAAGAGAACATTCTTACTTAGATGAGTAGGTCTTTGAGCCATAGGTAGAAAATAAAAATCCCTCAGCCCTTTCCTGCTACTCTGTCAGAAGACCCCAAGGAGTCACAAGGCCCATTTGCTGTCACAAGACTGAGCAGCCTCTGAGGATGGCCACCCCTAAGTAGCAGCAGCAGTGAAGGAAGTGAAAATGCCACTTTCTAGTTCATTCCTGCCTCAGAGATGCCCTGTCCTCACACACAGAAACTTGCTACTGCCTGACAGTTAAACAAGGCCATGATTCAAGCTCATTTGCGAAACTCCTGGGCATCTTTTGAGAAATGTGTGTTGCAGCTTTTTGAAAAGCCAGAAGGTGAACTCTGTTGAGCTCAAGTTATTCTTTTGTTTATCACTTTTGGACTTGCAGAAGACACCCATTAGTCTGCAAGCTTTTGTGCTGCCTTTCCACTGCCCTTGTCTCCAGAAACCCTCTCAGCTGAGTTGCCTGAGTAAAGGTGAGCAACTACATTAAACAGCAGCAAGCACAAATGTGACAGGGACACACTACTATGCTTCCGCAGAGCTTTTTGCTCAAATGTGGGAAAAAAATGCAGTAGAAACATTCATTTGTATACAGAAAATCAAATCACGTTATCAATTTAGAGAATAGCTGAGAAAGACGGGAGAGGTGTGAAACAAAAGGACATTTGATTCCACAGACAGTCACAAAAATGCATTAAACAAAGTAAAACAAACATTAATACAAAGAGGTAAAAGGTAGAAAAATAGCAAACAGTTCCTGGATCTCTTCCATATAAGGATTATGAAGGAAAAAGTAATTTAGGGTAGATTTAAAATATAAAAAAAAGAATATACAAAGATGCCTATACACCTGTTTTGAGTTGAACCCCCACAAAGTCGAGTTCCCACTAAAAATGGGAATTAGCAGTACATGAATTAAATGCTCAGCAAATCAGTCCTGAAAGTTTTTTAGTCTAATAATTTTGGTTCTACTTACACTCAAATTACTATTTACAACATAGCAAGAACACCACAGGAAATGTGCTATTAACTTTGTTTCATCAGCTTTAAATATGATTCTTCCAACTAGTGTCAAATATACATTTATATATGCATAAATACAGTAAGGTATAGCATAGCACATTCATTGACTGATACCGTCATGTTGAATATCTAACTCACTGAATCACAAGGCACAAGACAGCTGCTTAATCACCATTTAAATCGGAGTTTGACCAAGGCTACAAGGAAGATCTATTGCATTCATTCACTTCCAGAGTATTACTGTCTGTTCTGTAAGAGGGGAATTTACACAACCACTCTTCTCTGGCCTAAAATCTTTCCCTTATTACAAGCATGGGTGGTAACAGACATGGATCCAAACGCTAAAGTATTTGACATTATTTCCACTCTAGTAACAAGCTATTTGTTTTCTCTATCCTGTGAGGATTAATGCTGCAAGTTCATTTAAATTATTTTAAAACTCCCATGTATTTTTTTTTCACATGTGGAAAAATTCCAGTACAACTACAGAGGCCCTAAATAGTTGATGAAATTTTGAAGGGAAAAAAAAAAAGGAAAAAAGGAACCTTGGTATAAAGCATATCCCAGCCCAAAGATCCCCCTATTATAAAGTCTGTTTCTATCAAGTCTGAATTTGGTCCTCTTCCTACAATCATCCTAGAACAACCATAACGCTAACCTGTAGTGCTTGCAAACTGTTGTGAAACTGTATCCAAAAAAAAAAAAAAAAAAAAAAGTAAAAAGCTATTAAAATCTTGTCTGGCGCAGTATTGGCAGAGGTAACAAAAGCAACAATAAATGATTCTGATGCAATAACAAGCAGACAGATGCATGAACCAATAAGGAAGCCAACCAGCCCAAACCCCATCATTAAGCTTTTGCTTGTTTTTAAGTATTTGGGATTAAATTTTCAAATACTATTCAAATGAAATGATTGGAAGAATTCAATTTCCAATATAAACATTTTCATCAGCACACAAAAAGATGCAAAACACTTCAGTTGTGCACATGAAGCACAGTAAAGCTGTATTAGTGCAAGTTCTTTAAAACTTACATATATTGAAAACGTATCGATCATATTTCACAGAATCACAGAATGGTTGAAGTTGAAAGAGGCCTCTAGAGATCATCTAGTGCAATCCTCCTGTTCAAGCAGGGACACCTAGAGCATGTAGCACAATATTTGGAGCAGGTTTTCTTCAATGAACAGATTTACAATGTCCTTAGGGTACAGTGTAGCATATCAAGTGATCTGGCAGGAAAGCTGGAGCATTAAGAAATACGAAACGAAATCATGAGAACGTGACGCACGGAGTCATCTGGTTGCCTATACCAAGTCAGGGAATAGGAAATCTTCACATCTCAGAGGATTTTTAAGTAATTTTCTTTTCTGTTTGATCACAAGATTGGCATGTCGGATTGTGCAGGAGGTTTTGCCAAAATCAACGCTAAACATCAACTGCAAAGAACTGCACCCCTAGTTATATGCAAATTATTTCAAGTAAGTAATCTAGAGTTACTGAACTCCTGCTTCCAAGCTCACCGCATTTTGGAAATGGGTACCTCTCTGCTAGATATAGTTGATTAAGATTTAGTTGCAGGAAACCAAAAATTTGGTTGCAGGAAACTGTGACCCTGGCATTTATCTGACTTGATATATCATGTATAAAAGCTGACAGAAAAATTGACAGAAAAATTGCACAAATGCCCACAAAACTATACCTTTATAAAACACAACTACCAAAAGAAGTGTCAGGCACAACAATGTTGTGCATGTACTATCTTTTTATTTGTATGTATTCTAGTAGTAATCAACTTAAAATTAATGCTGAACCCCTATTTCTAGATGTATCACTGATGTCCCATCCTTCCTTGACCGTGGAAGACCCCACAGCACACCACCTTGCAGTTATTCTTGCCATATACCCAGATTTGGCGCTTTTTCATGTCCTTTCTTTCCTGACCCGTGCGGAATGCGCCCTGTCTAGGCAGCTGTGGCAAAAAAAAAAAAAAAAAAGACTGCTGCTTAAGTACCTTGCACCTATCACTCCATTTCTGAGCTTGTTAAAAATTGCAGTGTTCATCTAATTCTATTCCCTTACTAACAGATGTAAAACAACCTGTTATTCCAGAAGAGAGAAACAGACTGATGACATATACCACTGCCTTTTCCAAGTTTAGTGCACAAAACAATTGCCAGCCAAGTGCAGACAGGTATTAGAAAGGAATCAGCAATAATCTGTCATGTGCTATGCATTTTTCTACCCCTTTTATAGAAATGTTGTGGAAATGATAAAACAGTTCTGTACTGTTAAAACATGCTAATACACTGTTAAGGTAGAATGGAGTGAACAACTAATGGACTGATCCTATATAAATTCAGGTGGTCTTGATTCTTAAAAGGAATCCGTAGCTTGAAGCATGCAGCATCTCTAAAAAAGGCACCGCACTGCTTCTGCCCACTTAGAACAAAAACCAAACCAAAACAGAACTTATACCTAGCAAATTTGACCTTAAGCTCATTCTCAGATACTTTTGAGGAGACAGTAGTCACGTAAGATAAACTGCTTTTCCCATTCTTCTTATCTCTTCAACTTATTTTGTGAATTTTGAGCATGCAGGTAGCATACTGGGATAAGTAAGAAAAGCTGTCCATTAAGATATTTATGTATAGTATGTATGTACGTATAGCTTAGTAATAAAGCAACAAGCACTAAAAAAATGCTATAACCTTTCAGTCACAAATCCAGCAGTGCAGAGAACACAATAAGCTAAACACAAGCCACAAATGTGAAGTTGAAAATGCAGAAAATGAGGGTGGAATGCATAGTTTGAGAAGGACATTTTTTCTGGATCACAGATCTAACACTGAATTCTCTTACATGTCTACTGTGGCTAGAAATTACCCTTTCTGTGACTAGAAAATAAAACATGTCAGTGATGAAGGTGCAGCATTAGGCTGACTAACGTAATCTTTCATCAGTATCACCTCAGCAGCAGAGCAAGACAGACTGCCATACAATACTCACTCACATTTGCCAACCCTCCCACTTAAAATTTCACTATTAATTATTGGAAAACATACATGCTAAAAGAAAATAAATAAACAGTTTACAATATCAGCCAGTACTATTTCTTACAAACCAAAGCTACCTCTCTTGGGTCACATGACAAGAAGTTCATCTGCATAAGTTCAAAGGAGCAATGGTAATAGGAAAACCAGAGTAACATCCCATCCTTACTCCGTCTACTCCTAGACTAATCACAGGAGGGCGATCAGTCCATCCCGGGCTCATCT